GCATTCCTGGGATCAAAAGAAGGGTTAGACTATGAAGTGACTCCTTTGTACTCTGGCTGGAAACCGGTCTAAGTAGTGACCGAACAGAGGATAGGCTGGGGGAGTACTGTGCTCAGGAGACCTATAGGAAAGTGTAACGGGTATCTCTTCGAAGTGCCAGTAGAGGTTTAAGAAATACTGATGACTTTGTTCTTTATTTTCTGGGTAGGTTTTAGTTATGGACACATCTATTCTTCCCCAAGATCAGTCATTTGGCCAGAAATCGGCAAGAGAATTATCGCTACTTAGTGACACTAAAATGCCAATCCCAAGGAAAAGAACTACTATCCTATGGGACCGGAGCTTAGAAGATGTGATTGAAGATGATGATGATGAGATGGAGGAACAGCATAATATGTCAAGAGAAGAAGCAGTGCAGATACGTGAAGAAAATAAAGTTCTTATTGGAAAAGAAGAATATATGGTATGTGCCAGGGCTGCTTCAAGAATTAGTGTATCATGGAGTCTTGAAGCAAGGTGTTCTTCTGGTTTCCCCTATCTTTCGCCTATTCTTTTTTTTTTTTTTTTCTAATCACCCTTATTCTACCTAAATCCAGCTTTAAGAACTAAGAGTGGGATTACTCATGACTTTGTGCCCATTGTGAGAAAACTCTATGAAATCTGTGTAAATACAGACTGAGCAGTAAGATTTGGCTTTCTCTCCTTTCGGTAACCTGTGGTCAATGCACAGCAAGTATTACCTGGCTTTTAGCAATACAGAAGGCTGTTCCTTTGTATGCAGAAGAAAACTCTGAAAACTGTTCTTTAAGGAACAGTAATTTTAGTCACTTCTAGGGAAGACAAGGAGGTAACAGAGGACTAGACTGTTTTGTGGAAGTTTCATTAATATTGCCCCAAAAATGAGCATCTGGAAAACAAGAGCCAAATTCTGTGGAGTGTAAGCCTGGTTTTTTTTAAGACAACTTCAGGAATTCTTGTAAACTTAATGATCTTTGCAAATGCCTACTCTATGCAAACTTGTAAATTGCTGTGCTAGTACCAAACAGATATTTCAATCTACTCAGGAATCTTCCTGTTTATGAATAAGCTAATAAAAGAACTGGAAGAACTTTTGCCAGCTGGAAGAGTAAAGTGTTGTAGTGTTTGAGGAATGGGAAAAATCTCACTTCTGGGAAACTATTTCTTTATGAAAAACTTAATGGTAATTCTAGACGCTGCTGAGTCTCATAGAAGAGTTGAAGAACAAACTTATTACTGAAAAGAAGAATAAGTTACTGCTGGAACTAAAAATTCGTGAAGAAGTGACACAAGAGTTTACCCAATATTTTGCTGAGCGGGAAATAGATTTCAAGTAAGTTACCTTTCAGTGGTTTTAAAGTTAAATTCATTTATTTCTTGGCTGTAAGAGACCACACTCTTCTGCTAGACTTACTGCCTCTGTTAATATATCAGTTTCCGTTTGGACTATGAGTTCAGGAAAAATACTGTGTAGGAAAGGCTTTGATTTTTTTGGGGGGGTAGGTGTGGAATCTGTAAGCGGTGTTTGTTCCTGTAGAACCCTCTCTGAGAGAAGAGCTTTGTTGATAGGGTGTCTATAGAAAGAGTGACACTTGCAGATTCTTTGGTTACTGCAGTCTTAGTGATACTCCAAACAGGTATTCTGGCTCAAGAAGCTTAGAAAAAATGCTTGTAGTTAAGTGCTATCCATAATCTGTGTATATATTTTCTCTCCTCTCATTCTTCAGGGGTGTGTGTGTGGGAAATATATTTCTATTTTGGTGTAGCAACACCGTTTTGTGTATCATTCTATTGTGCCAAAATAAAGAAAATAAAATCTTTGTTTATAGGCAGCTGTACTAATAACTTCTTAGCAGCTCATACTGGCTAGCTTTTAGCTGACTTATTTTTCCTGCTATAGAGAGTGCCTTTCTCACGAACGAGAACGGCTTGAAGAAAATTCTGAAAGACGCCTGGAAATCTTCAAGGAACTTGTAAATGGTTATGCTAAAAACACGGATGAAGAAAATAAATTTAAGGATCAGCCTTGCAGTGAACAAGCTGGACCTCTGGTATTTTTATATCTCCTCCCCCCCCCCATCCCTTTTACTAACTACCTGTTATGGTGATGGTATGTCTCAAGGATTAGAAGGATGGTTTCAAGGGATTGCATGCTGTGTAACTGTATTCTCAGCAAGATATATTTATCACATTTAGTAGGAGTAGTTGCTGAGCCTTGGGTATGCATTTAGGAATCTTTGGGGTTTTCTGCATTTCTGCAACACAAAGTAAAAATTACTATATACAAAGAAATTGAGGGGGAAAGCTGCAATTATGGTGTAAACTCTATTATATTAAGTACCTATTTAAAGTATTTAAAGCTGATGTCTTAGGCACCATATATGGACTGTACTGGAGCGGTCCTAGAGACTTTGTCCTTCTTAAGGCTGTTGTAGCTACACAATTGAATGAATGAGAATTGTATATACGCTTAAGCCATAACTAGACTCTTAACTTGAGGCTGGCTCTTGTGAGCTGGAACCCCTTGTTTTTAAAAAACAAAGAGGAAAGATAATAAAGTCAATGTTTTGAGTACAACTTAATTTGATAAGTTACAAAAAACTTATTTCACCTCACACAATTTCAAATGTATTCCTTCTGAAACTGTTCACTTGCTGTGTTCATTCAATGTTCTCATCGGGTAAAAAAAAAATACTAGCTTTTATATTAAATTTAGAGGGGATGCTTTTGTGGTGATATAAAAGGGAATGTGATGGTGGGTCATTAAATGCTATAAAAATAAAGTAGCTATTTTTTGATACTGGAGACTTGTGTGTGGAGAAACTGACAATCAAATTGCATATGAACCCACGAGGTGGCTTTGAAGCCAGAATTAACTGTACTTACATGTTTGAATTCTTAATGGTCTTCCAAATTTTCTGTAGAAATAATGGCTATAGTGTAATTATTTGCCATTTCTAAATGGATATAAATTATCTTTCAGGATGAAGAATACAGCATGGGCCCAGGCACCTACATTGATCTTGAAGGCATTATTGATTCTCTGCAGAATGATGTCATTGATCTCAAAAAGCAGGCAGAAGCAGCACACAGATACATTTTGTCCCTAGAGGACCCAAAGGAAGCTATAGGTTGGCTTGAAAAACAACTGGGGAAAATTACCACTGAACTAACTAAGACCAAAGAAGAGCTGACAAAGAAAACCAATGAACTAACCAAAACTGAAGAAGAGCTGACACAGAAAACCAGAGGTGAGCTGGGTTTAAACGTGATGTGAAAGGCAGAAAAAAAGACATGACTGACTACTGGAAAATAATAATAATAATCCAGCTGAGCAGGATTTTGGAACCAAATCATGTTTATAGAGGTAGTAACTAATTGTTTTGTGTACGTTCAGGTTCAACAATTCCACAGGCCTTGGTTATTTCATTTTTAAGACAAAACGTAAAACTGTAAATTGCAGACTTCTGAATTGTGGAGTAAAATGTCAACATTATTGATTCTTGATTTCATGGTTATATTGTAATCTAGGCACTTCTTTACATTTTGCTGATGAAGTGTTTTCAGGTATCCTGTGGAATGTTTATAGAGGAAAAGGTAGCAATACCTCATAATAAGATTTCAGCAGAAATCTCTGGATGTGATCTCTATTTTATACAAGTTGCAAGGCCCAATTTTCCTATTCAGAAAAACCTAAACAACTTTTGAAGTGTGTCCTGTGAGTAGAAGTCAACACAAAAATAAATTAATCTATTCAAAAGCTGCTGAGGCACCAGAAGGTCTGGAAAAATGGATTACCAAGTAAACTATATAATGGCTGCTTATTTGATGCAGGCTTCTTTTCTGGTTACAGACTTTGAAATGCAGATGACTAAATTGGATGAGTCTGCTGAACAGCTTAAAGAAGCAACTGAGGTAACTTTCTCAAGGAAAAGCTTATGCAAAATTGTTTGCTTTAATACAAAATTCCAGTAACTTAAAATGCTATTATAGTATGCTTCTAGCTTTTTTTATATCAAGCTTAGCTTAACTGATCTTGCTTCTAAATGCCTGGTATAGTTTAGCAATTTGGCACTGATGGCTGAACTACTATTCTTTCTTTTCCAAGAAAATGAATACACAGAATAAAAGGATTCAAGAACTAATGGACATTGTGGAGCAAAAAGATGATGTTATTACAAGACTACAAGATTTGATATCCCATTTAGAAGAAACCATAAAAGACTATGTAAGTCTTAGACATCTCAGTTTTCTTTACACAAAAAGAAAAAAAAAATCTATGCTTATAATGAATTTAACTATTTTGGAAAATTGAAATTTTCTGTAAGTAATTGCTACTTGCTTGAAATGGTAGCAGGTGAAGTTGGCATTGAAACTAAAGTTACAGCAAAATGTGTGCGGGGATGTGTGTGAAAAATGGGACTTTCAGAAGCAGCGATCTGGAGTTATTTGGAGGACTGTAGATGAGGCTCTGCAGAGCCACTCTAAAGGAAAAAACAAACACAAAAAAACCAACCAAACAAACCCACCACACCTCAAACTGGGAGGGCTTAAGCAGTGGGAATAGAGGGATTACGTCGCTGTCCATTTTTACCTGAATGGAAGAGGAAGGAAAGGAGGTTTTGCTGTAGCAAAAGGTCAAAGTTAATTGAAGTTAGAAGTTAATAATGTGAGAAGGACAGTGACTGTAAATTGGCAACAAAAATCAGTGTGTTCTACCCATCACCACCATGTGCACACACACACTTTCAACAGAAGAGCAATAATATGAATATATTGAGCAGAGTTTGAACTAAGAGTGGATGGCCAGGGTATCTCTGCTTTTGATGGGATTAATAAAACTTGCAACTGGCTAGTCTACTGCTAGCTGCTGAATGCCAGAAGACTAGCTTGGCTAAATATATATAGGTTAAAAAAAAACAAAACATGGAGTTAGTTTTTGTTTTTGGTTTTTTTTTTTTTTTTTTTTTTGAGCCTGATGTCTGGTAACCTGAAGTAGTTCTGAGAACACTTTTAAATTAAATTTAGTCAACACTCTGATCCATTTCTCTCTTCTGCTGTAAACTTAAGGCTTTGACCATATTTAATCTTCTATTCCCTCTCTCTGCCGCACAGCAACTTAGCTTTTCAATAGTACGAATGCTCTGAGAGTGGTAAGAGTTGTGATGACTGCTTCCTGTTACTACTCCTTCCAAGAGCAAGGTTCCAGCTCTGTCCAGTGTTTCTATGAGACTGTGTGGCATGAAACTTAAAACATGACCACAAACCTCAAGTCTGTTCTATAGATATCTTTAAAGTACTTCATTAAAAAAAAATGAGTAATTGGTCCTTGGCAACCAGCATGGCTTGCCACTTGTGTCATCTTACAAGTAAAGAAACTTTATTCTTAGTCAAATATATAATCTAAAGTATGTATGACAACTGACTAGCTTTTCGAATTGTATCAGATCTGTCATGATGAAAATGATCCGTGGCTTTGCTGAAGGCAGTCAAAACTCCCAACTCTACCAACTATGACAAGAAAGTGATGAATTTGTAGAGCTGGCCATTTGCCCTTTGAACAAATCGGGACTTTCCTCAACTCTTTTGACACTGGAAACTGTTTTCAGTAAACAAACTCCTCTTACACACATGTCTTGCATTTCGTAGTTTCCTAGTATCTTGCTCCGCTTTCTGTACAGTGCGAAGCATTGAGCTTATTAGTATTTGAAGGTGTACCTGCTTTTGGTTTAAATAACTGATCTGTAACTGACTTGTTTCTCTGACAACCCCTATACATGTTACCCAGATAGTTTTGTAAAAATATTTGCATATAAAAGATTACTAAGCCTTTTAAGTGTTCACTTTGTAGAACTTCAAAGTAATTGATCTTATTTTAACACAGGACAACACCGTAACTACCATTAAAAGAAAGTTGGCAGAAAAGAACTCTAACAAAGTGATTGAAAGCAGCCAATTCAAGGATTGTGAGGAAACTGTATTGGAAGTGGGAAGAAAACGTTGCTTTGAAAATAACCCTACTGTGGAAGAAGAGCCACCTACAAAGAAAGGTACAATTTCTACCATCCCTCAACAGGGGGTCTTCCACAAAAACTTGATTACTATTCCAGAACAGAAGCAAAAAGTTGTGAAACGTAAACGTTATGTTATGGGGAGAAAATCTACTATGTTAAACTGTAAATGGAAGTAATTGTTATGTAAATATCATCTGTTTTGCAGAAGGTCCTATACTGTTCACTCCTAAATGCTTAAAATAAAAGTTAGTTTTTAGACTCTTTCCTTTCTGCTGTGTTTTTCTCATCTGTAAATGTACTTGTAGACTCAGCTGTAGTTCTTAAGCAATTTCTTATCAGTTTTTTTTGTACTAAACTTGCTGTTGCTGGACTTCTGGGAAAGTAGCATCTCCTGTTGAAGTTTTTTAAAAATGTCTAAGCAAGCATCAAAGGTGTCAATGATTTACTGATTGTTCAGTCATATGGTACGTGCTGTGAAACTTGGTGTTTCATTCTGTATGTATGCTGTGAACACACCAGCTCTGGTCAAGGTGACAGTCCTGGCAAAGGAGAAAAGCTTTCCACTTGAACGGAAGTAAAATTTTAAGTGCACAGATGGCATATTTTGTGCAGCGCTCATGTTTGCACTTGCAATCCTTCTGCTTTCCTTGCTTTATCTGTGAGCTTACCAGTCTTTTTAGAATGAGGTGAATAAACTAGCTGCAGTTTGACTTTCAAGGATAAGAGTGAAACTTAAAAGGACAGCACTAATGTTATCCATTTCATTAAAGTCTATTAGTCAGTGAGACTGAGCTATATGGGACTGACTTGTGCAAAGTGGTATTTGTAAGATCTGTCTGTCTCTAACTTGACTTCAGGACACAGCTGGGCTTCAGTTTCTCGTAGAACTATGGAAAGCATCTGCAAAAGGAGAATGAAAGGTTTTCCCTTTTGTGTCCCTTACTTTCTTGCCTTCCTCCTGCAGAATAGGTGCAAGTAAGAAAATCTTCCAGGCATTGTTTGGGTGAGGATGGGATAGAGAAACAAGATTAAAAATGGGAAGCAGAAAGTATCTATCCCCATAAAGAGGGATAAAACATGTTGAAAGGAGACTTGTCAAATTCACATGATCACAGAAACCTGAGGATACAGATGGTGAATAAGCTGAATGCTGGACTGTCATTCATCACATTCTGGAGTGAAAGAACAAGGGAACGCTCAATCTAGTAGAAGATCAGTTTAAGTTTATGGAACAAAGCATTTCATGCAGTGGGTAGTGAACTTCTAATATTTGCTGCCCTAGAAGGTGGGAGAGGCAGATAACTCTCAGATTCCAGGAGTGGTTAGACAAGCTAATGGACAACAGGTTCATATGTAGATACCGAAAGGGTTAAGCAGGGATGTATTGTCTCTTATTCCTTCAACATTCCCAATTGTTCTCTGTCAGGAAAAGTCCATAGGAAGTGTCTGGGCCTACCAACAGTAGCAAAAGGACGTAAAATATTAGGCTAGTCAACTGATGGTGTGTGATCCAGTAGGGCATTTCTGATGTTTGTACATCTTGTTCAAATAAGTGTAATTTGAAGTCTTTCTTAAGACAAGCTTTTGTCTCTGTACCAGATGCATCTCTGATTTGTCTCTACCATCTTCAGCTGGGATGAATATTGGATCCTAGCATGGCCATTTGATGGTGCCACCTATATAATTGTTACAGGAAGGGGGTGGGAAATGAAGCTGATGTAGACTCCTTGATATACTAGATAATAAGAGGTTTGTTATAATCTCATGACTGAAGCTCATTTAAACAACCAAAAAATAGAAAAGTGATATCCATTCTGAAACAAGAAATTAAAGTGGATAACTAACAGTGCCAATTAATGTCAGCACTGAGATTTTTCTGTTGGGAAGAACAGGCTCTTCAGTCATGTTAAATATGTTTCTTTTTTGGGCATTGAGAATACAGGGCATCTGACTTACAAACTGAGTTGTTAGATGCTCCATAACGATGAAGTTTATTAATATATATATATACTTAACATTCAACCATTCTCATTAAATGTACTTGGCACAATAGAACAATGAGCACAGCTACACTGTGATGGCTTTCTCTTAGAATTTAGGTATGCTAGTGGCCTGTGACCAAAGCTTATTTTGCAAGAAGATAGGTTATCTTGTCTTGAAGTTCAGGTTTTTGTACTCTTCTCTAGGACTTGCCTGCCATGTTTTGGGTGGGGCTCTTTCGTTCTTAGTACTTCCTACATAAAAAGCTTCTGAACTGAATGTCATGTATCTTCTTGCACTAATATTTATCCTGCTTTGCTGCGTGACTCTGGTTGTCAGTACAAAGCATCAAGATCACTTCTAAATTCTCTTGTGAATGATCATACCCTTCTTGCTATAGGCGTTGGGCCAAGATCTGCTACTTTTTTCATCTTACCACCTTAGATCACAAAATATGTCTTAAGATACCTCAATGCCTCTCCCTTTTAGCGAAGTATGTAAAAATCATGTCCAGTGTGAGGAATATGTAGTATTTGGTCTGGTATGTTTTCTTGGGACTACACAACTGAGCTTTCAGAGCAAACCATCTCCCAGTCCAAAATTTTTAATGTTGTAGGATTTGGAAGCATGGCTTTATAAGCCAAAGTAAAGCTGCTGTTGTGTTTGACCTAGCAGGAACACTTGATATGTCTGATTAGAACAGAAAAGAGGAGGTACAAAAAAGCAGGAAGAAAAAAGCGTCCTGTGGAATTTGATTACTCTACAAATAATCAAAAACCAAAACTTGAATTGAGGTGGAAAACACTATTGCTAATGCTTCAGTATGACTGTTTGCTAGTGACTCAAAGTTAGTGACTCTCTAAAACTTGTTGGATCTGTTCAGAGGATGTTTCCATGCAGTACACATGTACCCATGTGCTTAATGCTTCCAAAGTGAGATGACTGCCAAACTCTACCTTACTGTAGTTCTAGTATGCAAGAGAATCCATAGTATCTCCCTGGAGCACAGAGTTGTGATGGCCTAATCCTTAGAGATAGTCAGGCTTGATTTTAATACTAAAACATAGCATGCATGTTACTAAATGGACACGACTGGATTCTAAAACATTTGTGTGAAATACAGCTGGAGTCAGTTTTGAAGGTGGTGAAATGCATGTGATTTTTGTTAGAATCACTCATTACTTAGGGGAAAAAAACAGTCTTAAGCTAATAAAATATTTATGGAAATTTGGAGTTGTGATGGAATGTTGTACATCTTTCTGGGAGAACTTTACATGCAACACACTAGGTGTGGGCATAAATAATTATCCTTATATTTAGTTTAGAAACCAATTGAAAAAAGAGAGGAAGGTCCCAGATGCTAAGTGAAAAACTTGTGCTGGATTTTTAGTTTCATTTTTACAGTAAGGGGATATTGAGTATGAATGAAACTTCTCAGAAAAGTATATGATACCATTGCTCTTCTAAATGTAGAATGGGTGATTGCTGGCTGTATTAAAGGGATTGTTGAACCAGTGAAGGTGGAAACTAGATATAACTGTGAATGTTATCTAGCTCATAGGTATTACTACATACTAGTAAAACTAGCTAGATTTTTCTACTAGTGGTGCAGAGTAGAAGGTGGGAATAGAGCCACTGCAAAGTGTTCTTTAAGGCTCCTGAACACCTCTTGCTGCAAATTATGTCTGGAAGCCTAAGAGGCACCTATTGATGTTAAACCATTCAGAGGGCTTTAATTACTTCAGGACTTCAAAATGCCATATGGTATGAGGGTGTGGCTTTCAGATGGTGACTGTTTTCCATATAGTAATTGCTATATGGTATTGCTAGTGACTTGCCCTGTTGATTTTAATCAACCTGAGCTGTATGGTTTGTGTTTTTCTTTTTTTTTTTTAGGAGATATGAAGTACAGTTGGGAAGATGACTCTCTAGAGCAAAGGAGAACTGAATACGTGAAGACAAATACTTCTGAGAACTATGCAGAAATACTAGCGCTGAAGGAAAGAACTGAAACTTTGGAAGGTCAGCTAGCTGCACTTGAAGAACAATGCAGAAGAGAAAAAACCAAAAAAGAAGAGTTCAGTGGGCAGATAACAAACTTGCATCTCAAGCTCTCTGCTTCTGAAGAAAGTGCTTCTGTTTTAAGTGAGAAACTTCAGCAATGTCAAGCTGACTATCAGGAGATCGTTTCTGAACTGGACAAACAGAAAACTATAAATAGGGAACAAGAAGAAAAGATTATTCGGCTAAATAACGAAGTAGAAGGTGCCAAACAAAATATAATTGCTAAAGTGTCACAAATCAAAACAATGCAGTCCAAAGCAGATGAGTTGTATAAATCTCACTTAAAGTCTTATGCTATGGATATTGATTTAGTTGATCTAAAGGATTCCTTAGACTCTCAAAATGATGAACCAGAGAGAGGTCAAATGAGTCCTGTATGCATGCAGTCCCAAACTGCTTCTACAGCAGATCTGAGACAGGAGAGCTCCTTTCACTGCAGTGTTGAAAGCATTTGGGAAGAATGCAAAAATATTATTAAGGTGTCTTCACAAAAAAGTCATCGGATTCAAGAACTACTTCAACAAGTTGAAGACTTGAAGAAGGGACTTGATGACACTGAGAATTATAATAATCAACTAAAAATAAAATTAAATGAGATTGCAAATCAAGATCGTCAGTCCGTAAAGGAAAAAGATCTTATGAATCAGTTACAAGAGCAAATCCAGAAGAAAACACAGGATTTTGAAAAACAGGCTGCAGAAGATCACAGAGTAATTGCACAGTTGGAGGAGGAAGTTACCAGCTACAAGGGAAAAATAAGAGAGCTTGAATGCCTCTTGGAGGCTTTTAGAGCTAAAGATGACAGCATAACAAAGTTAGAAGAAGTACTTAAAGAAAAAGAATCTATTATTTTAAATCTAGAAAGTAATGCAGTAGCTCTGCAAGAGAAATGTGCCAATTCAGACAAAAAACTGAAAGAATTAAATGATCAAGAAGCAAATCTGAAGGAGGAAGTTGTGCAGTTGATGAACAGCTTGGAGAACATGAAACGTTCTCTTCAGGAAAAGGAGAAAAATGAGGATGAGCAAATACAATCTATAGAATTGTAAGTAAATAATGAGATAACTCATAGCCCTTTGAGAATAGACTAAAGTTGAAACTACCTTCTGTGAACATCAGTTTATTTTGACAAACACATTTGCGTGTGTTTGAACTTTACTAACCAAACTGCTTCTTTAAGAAAGTTTTAATACACTACTTGAATTTTATATTTGCATATTCTGCTGGCTATGTTTTCCTCACCTGTTTGCATATTCTTTCAAAAATATAGGTCTAAATCATGTGGAACTATTGTAGGGGGAAACAGGACCATGCAAGGAAATGAAGAATTATTTGGGGATTTCTAATAGTTTTATGTTGTATACCTTTTCTGCAGGAAATGACATAGTTTAATGTTATATCCTGTAACTTGTATAAAAGCAGGCAATGTTTTCTTTGGAAAGGACTGAATGGTAAAAAGGCAAAGAAGAAAGGAAAAAAAAAAGGCTAGGGAGTAAACAGCTGGTTTTGGTAATAGTTATTCTAGGGGAACGCAGTCTATGATAAGGACTTGAAGGAATAATGGTTGTAGGAGGGTAGAACTTCCCTCAGCCCCCTCTACTTTTCAAATCATTAAGAAATAAGAGATTAAATGTATCTGAGAGACTGTATTTGCTATGTGGTAAGGAAACTGCAATCATGTAAAAATAGCTTTAAGATGCTATGTAGCCCTACTCCTGACTAGGGTTTCTTTAGTGCCACATCTGTAGGTACCTGTATATACTCACTCTAAAGTATAATTTAGCATGAAGGTCTGGGGATTCTCAACCCTGTGCTTGTAAAGCTTTGAAAGGTTTTCCTTTTGTGAGGCCTTGTTTTGTATTATCAATTATAGAATCTAAAAAACCTTCTATTAGTTAGTTTTAAAGTAAAAATCCAAGATGTCTTACTGTAAACTTCTTAAAATAAATATGACCATTTAAAAATAAACCCATCAAACTTCTTAATTAATTCATAGCACTTGTGACAGCAGTACTTGTTGCAATGTTATTGTTTTTTGTTTTCTTTTTCTTTTTATTTATTTTGATCCTTACAAGGTCTGGGATGTAGATATCAAGTTTAAACTACTTGATATTAATCTTGTGCCTTTTTTTACTTTGCGGTGACACTTCATAGTAAAAATGGTTGCTCTACTGTGCTCAAAAAAATAAAATTAAAAAAATTTGCAGTGTTCAGAAGCGAACCTGAACAGTTTGTTACTTCAGAAGAAGCTGAAATCCAAAAATAAAATTATAAAGCTTGTCATTGATCTGATAGATCTGTGATTCTATTCATGGATAAAATCAGCAGTCAAAGAGCCTGAGTTAATATGTAAAAGCTGTTTCTTTGAGATGTGTAACACTAATGTTATTTATGTCTCTTAATTTCTAACACAAGGCTACATAAAGATCTTTCTGAGAGCTCTGCCCTTGTACAGAGTTTGAAAAAAGATTTGCAGAGGAAAGAGGAAGAATATACGGATTTGAAAGATAAATTTTCTGATGCCAAGAAACAAATTCAGCAAGTACAAAAAGAGGTTGGTAACCATAGGCCAAATGTTTCTTCTGCAAGTTTTTGCTTGGTGTTCTGTTATTAAAACCTGTTTTCATGAATCTCAAGCTACAAATGTTAAAAGTGATTCATAATAAGGCTCTTTTGAGTGATACATTTAGAGTAACAGCAAATCTTAAGTTATGTTGCCATTGAAGCTGTAAGCTAAAGGTAAGACTATGTCAAAACATGGATTAGTACAGGTATTGAAGGGGGAAGTAGATTTTATTAATACACTTGAAAAAGGTTTGTGAAAACTGACTAATCTGGTTATGGAGAAGAACTTCATGATCTCTATAACAACAGTAGCCTTACATTGTTATTCATGCTGACTTCAAAGCCTCAGGCTTCAGACTTGTGGAAAATGCTGATCTCTGGGAAGAAAAGATTAATCAGGAAAGGAAAGCACTAACTTCTAGCGACTTTTAAAAGTCTGAGCTATGTTTTCTATTAAGGTTGGGGAGAAGAAATAAAAATATGAAATAACTTTTACTAGTGTTAATTGTTAGTATTTATTTATCAAGCAGTAGGATTTCTTAGAACCTCATGGGATATTGCAAGAACTTAAAATCCAAAAGACTATTGCAATAGTTTAGGCTTGAAAGTTAAGCCTTAAAAAAAAGTATTACTGTCTTCCCCAGTAGCCTAACATTTGAGGACCTTTTCCTGTCAACATTCAGTGTATAATCCTCTGTTTGAGAAGTAGCAAGGAGTAGATGGGATCACATGTCAGAAAACTTTTTTTTTATTTTTTTTTTTTTTTAAGGACAACTGAATTTGTAGTTTGATTACGTTATTTCCTGGTGTTGTTTTGGATTCCCCTGCCAAATGTAATACTCTTTTCTATAGTGAAAATCCTTCTCTAGGAAGGATGTACAGTATAGTGCGCTTCCAGCCCCTGAAATTTAGCTAAGATGCTGACAAAAATTTGACTCATAACTAGTTATTTAGATAACTTACAGAGATTGTAAAAGGCTTACAGCTAAATGTTAGCTTTGCTTGCTGTCTTTGTGTGTTGTTACAGGTATGTACAATGCGATCTGAGGAGAAATCCCTGAGGAACAAAGTTAATGAACTTCAGAAAATTAAAAACCAGCTTAGTGAAGAATTAGAGATGAAACAACGCACAATCCTGCAACTTAAAAAGGTATTTTATTTTTTAAAATTCTACTTGCTCTTGATTTTTTTAACTAATCCATTAATGAGGCAAGTTTTCCAAACAACAGGGGAAAGCTTACAGAAATTGGGGTAAAAATAAGAGTAGCCAGCTGAAATTAGTTTTAATGGATGAAAGATGTTTAAACAACTTCTCACTGCAGGATATTGTCAAATTGTTTTAAATAGAGTAATCTACCTAGTAAATGCCTACTTAATACCTGCAGATATTCTGATTAGTGACACTTAGATATGTTAGTGGCAATGTCTTCCTCTAAACGCTTTTTTTTTTTTTATCAGCTTGAGTGCTCCTTCACACTATATGAAAAACTTACTTATTTTGGACTGTTTGTCTTAAATACTTTATTCATTACTTATTAAAGCTCAGAATGAAAAGCTGCTTATTTCTAGCATGTATATTTGTTTCTTTCAACACATTTTCTTTAATTTGCTTTCAATGTGATATTTAGGAGCAGTTGAATAATGAGAAGCTGGAAGAAATCTCCAAACAGTACGAGAAAACACGTAAAGGTCAGAAAAAGCCATTATTGTTCGTTCTTTTTTTTTTTTTTTTGGTGTGAAATTGTAACATAATGAGTTGTCATGTTGTTAACAGATTTGGAGAGTCTTGTATATTTATATTTTAAAATATTGAGAAACTCCAACCTGGACATTAAAATATTACAGTCAGGAACTAATTTTTATTGAATCATTATTAGCAGGTATATTTGAAAGCAAAGAAACAGTCTCAGAATTAGCAACATAAGCCCCTGAGAAAGTGTGGATTTGCTGTATCAGTGTTAACTTATTAAATGTTGATATTTATTTGCCATTTTAGTTGGCTGTTTTAACAAAATCAAACACTGAAACATGAACTAGCACAATAACAGTTTCTGCAGGTTTGATAAACGTTTAACAGTTGAACACTCATTAGTTTCTCATATAATACAAGCCATAGTATGACTGATGTTAATACTGAAACACTCACCTAAATCAAGTTGATGAGAATCACTTAAGAACTTTAGATTTGGATCATTCAGTAGAGAAGCTCTATTTCTTTCTAGTAGAGTTTTTAATCTCAGGGAATGGGGGAAATGGCTTGTAACAAAGGCACTTCGGGAGAGAATGGTGGGAACTAGGAGGGGACTCATCTGTAAATTTATTTTCAAATCTTCAGATCTGTGTGCAAAGGAGAAAATAATTGAAGATATGCGGATGACGTTAGAAGAACAAGAACAGACTCAGATTGAACAAGATCAAGTGCTTCAAGCCAAATTAGAAGAGACCAACAGATTAGTTTTGGGTAATCTCTCCATGGGAAAGGGAGCAGGGAGGCAGAATTGTTTTGGATATATTATGATAGCTGCTTTAAATTTCTGTTTTTATTTGTGGACTGTTATTTAGGCATTAATTTTATGTAGTACATTACTAACTGCTAACAGTTAAAGGCTTCTGTTGTCCCTTTGTGGTCATAGCTGATAAATCCAAGTAACTTTAGTAGAAGGATGTGAATGTGGTTAAATATGCATCTGAAACTGTACATAAAGTAACCTCATTTTGTGTACTGACTAGAACTGGAAGCATGGAAGCAGAAATATAGAGAGCTGAATAACCAGAGCAGTAATGACTGGCAGCAAAAGATGAGCAAAAACGAGGAGAAAAACATAAATGAAAATGAGGAATTAATAAAGCTGCAAAAAGAGCTGAAGGTAAAATATGGTGATGTAGTTCATACTTAGTTTTAAAGCCATAACTTTAATTTAGGAGTCTAAATTTCTTTCTGTCACTATCTTCAAGAGCTAGGGCATGATATGGTGAGTTGTTAGAGCGGTAAAGGAAACCTCCTCTAAAAGCTGCAGTGCTGCAGTGCACCAGTGCAGCGAAGTCTGTATGCCGTGTCTTTGTAATGCACAGCATCACTGATGCCCCATAATGGAGTGCACCCTTCCCTATGTTATGCTACCATGCATGGTGCTTCTGTAGTTGGGCCCCTTGTACAGTTGTATTAATCAATCCAACTCCTGATATCTGTTCCGAACCTCTTTCCTGTCAGTTGCTTGGGCAACTAAATCAAACTCTTTCAAGATTTTGTGCTTGCTGTATGACCTGTAAGCCCTTCCTGTTCAGCTGAGGACTTGCCTCTAATTTTCCTTGGATTAGAAAGTAGACTTTTTTCCAAGCAGCTTTTCAGGTGCCTTCTGTCTTATGTGGGAGAATGTCTGACAAGAGGTTTGATTGTGATGGAAAAGGAGGCAAAGTTGCTGTGGATTGAAGGGATGTTCTTGGGTATGCATTATCTCTGCCTACCGTTCAAATTGTACTGCATTATTTGCCTTTCAGTCTTGAAGTAGAAGTAAGTTTTCTAACATGTCCTGTAAGGCAGCATAAAAGATTGGGAATTTGTGAGTTGAGTCTCTGTACCATTACTTTTGGTGTGACTTTTATAGTGTTTGTGACTTACCCAGAGCATTTGTAGCAGAAGAAAATTCTGTTCCATGAAGATGCGCCAGTCTGAATAAGAAGTGCTGAAAATTGTTAATTTTTTTCAATGGAGAAGAATAAATGAGAATGTAATACTTGTGCTTGGGAATATGCTGGAGTAAAACTGTGCTAGTATTTCTATTATCTTTTTGAAACTAATTCATTTAATGGTAATCTGGACTTTAAGACTTCTTTGGTTTTTGCTTAATCTCTACCTATGGTTTTATTTCTGGTTTCATTAAAATAGGAAAATGAGGCAAAGTATCAAACTGATAGAAAGAAATGGATGGAGGAAAAAATGGTACTCATAAGTCAAGTAAAAGAAGCTGAGAGCCATCGCAACAGAGAAATGAGAAAATCTGCAGAGGACAGAGAACGTCATGTAGAGCAGCAGGCAGAAATTGTAAGTGACTGGAGGTCCCAGCAGAGTCCTCTAGTGTAACTCTAGTACAGAGCAAATCTCATGTCAAGTGATAACAGGGTGGGCACTTGAGGGTAGCTGGCCTTTATCAAAGTCCCCTCACTTTATTACATGCCAAAGCCTAGATGAGATCTTCTCAATATGAAAAGGGAAGAATAGGAAGGTCATAAAGTGAAAAAGTTTAGTATGTAATGGAAGTTAACGTGTCTGTTCCTTTCTATCCTATCACTACCACCATCTCGCTAAGAATTCTTCAGACTTCATCTTGTATGTAGAACACCAATAAGTAACCTACACTTAAATGAATTGCTACTTAATGAAGCTAAGAAAACATACTTTGAAAAATAAGATTTGTTGCTTGGCTTTTCTTAAAAAAAAAAAAAAGCTTATGAGGCTTTAGAAGGAAAAGGCAAGCAGAAGTTGATGAACAAAAAAGCTGGTTTCCAGATATAGAGTAAAAATACTTGGTCAAAATGCTAGTGGTTTTGCTACTACGTCACTTTCAAAATAGAGTGGCTGATAGTTAATAACAAGGTGGATACATGGCCTGTTCCCTGGACTGCATCAAGGTTGTAATTTCTTAAGGATATGAAATTATTATATGAATCTGTACAATCTAAAACTATACGTGCATTTAGAAGTAGTTAGCAATGACTTTCTGGACCTGCAATCAGTACAGGAGGATGTTAGGAGCTTAGTACTACTTTCACTTTGTCTGTGAAGTTGCTTGCTTGAGACTTGTTAGCAGTAAAATCACAAAGTGAGCAAACAGGACTGGTGGTTCTTAACAAAAATTCTCTTCACAAAAAGTATAAATATAGATACAGATTTTCTAATTGAAGCATGGTTTGCTTTTGCATATTTGTAGTGAAACTAGTTCTATGTGGGCTTTTTAAGATCTACATAGGCTCTCAAGTTTACTAAGGCCATAAAATAGTACTAACTGTGTGAAACCAAACTATCAGAACAGTTCAGATAGGTTAGAATTGAATGCTGTTTCTACACACTGTTTTTTCCCCATTTAGGAAAGACTTACTGCGCAGCTGGTGGAAAAGGACTGCAATCTTCAAAAGTGGCGTGAAGAAAGAGATAAATTGGTAGAAGCTTTGGAAGTACAGCTCAAGACTTTGGCTTCTAACACCACACAAAAAGATAAAGAAATAGCAGAACTGAAACAGGCCGCACTAAAGGATTCAGGAAAGGTCATCCCTCTCTTTCTTGTTCCTGTGTGATTTTTTTTTTTTTTTAATTTTGTTTTGTTATCCATTAATTCTGCAAAACACTATGCTTGCTTTTTGCATTTTGGTTCTATTTTTTGTTCTTAAATACTGTTGTATTGAAACCATTTCCAGCTAAGTTTAAAAAAAGCTTTGTTTTTTTTTGAAACTGAATTTGTAACAGTAACTGAAGTTTCAAAATACTTAGTAGTTCAAATAAACACTCAAGTCTATTTGGTCCTTTGATTGCAAAGTTAGACTGGAAATTTGAAACACTTATCACACGTGCTGCCTTTTTCACAGCACCAAGGACTTAATGAACAAATAGGAGGTGAACTTCTTATAACTCTACGTAAGTAGAGTAAAAAAAATAAAAAAAGTTGCAGTACGTCTTCCCAGGCTGTGTTATGACTCTTCTTCACTTTGAATAGTGGCCACTTATACATGAAATTAATGGCTTTTTGTTGGATAGCTGACTGTTTTAGCCTGCAATTCTAAAACTATGCCACTGTGCTAAGTAATCATAATGATGCTTGTGTATATGTTAATTTCTTTTGCTAATCCTGCAATTTGTGGCAATTTTTGCTATGTTTATTAGGATAAGGAAACTGATATAGAAGAACTAAGAAAACAGCTGGCTGAGAAAGATGACTTTATAAAGGAATTGAAACAACGCGTTAACCATGAAAGTCTTCGGTCTTTGGCAGAAATACCTTTACCTGAAGAAGGACAAGATAAAATAGATCAGTCTGTAAAAAAAGAGGTATGTTTGCTATATTTATAGAAAGTATGTACTAATGATATATTGTTAATAACTTTTGTTATTTTTCTCAGTATATATTTCAGCAACATTGGGAATCTCTCAAGTTACTTTTCATAGTTCTTCATACTTTAGCTATATCTTCAATTCTGAATTCTTGTTCGTACTTTTTCTCTCCCTCTTTCATGCTTGCTCTCAGAAAAATAGTACTTTAGTTAATAGAATACCACCTCTCTCTACATTATAGAACTTATATATCTGAAGGAAAAGCTAGTTAACTAATCCAGGTTCTAGAGATTTGAAGACATATTTGTGTTGTCATCTCAATTTGCTTATGTCAATGTAAAGGGGATTTCAGCTCAAACAACTTTCATGATATCACCTGTAATGTGGCAATAGAGATGATTCTGTAATTAGAGCTGCCAGCCCATATGGGGGGGTGACAAGAACAAAACAGTATCTTGCATCCCACTTAAAACCAAAACAAAACAGTATTTGAAGTTTACACAAAGAAAAGATCAACTTTGCATATTTCCTGAACAAAAATTAAAAGGCTTGCGACTGTACTAAGACTCCTGATTCTGACTGAACCCTTGTGTGCTACCTGAATAGTATTTAATGAGGTAGTTCTCCTGCTAAACTGAATTAATGCTATATGGCTCTGTTGCTAATTAATAATGAACAGGGCTGAATACGGGTTTCCTAGCAGTCCCTTCCCTGGCCACTAGAAGATGTGATTCTCCTCTTGTTGCAGAACTAGACTGAATGCCCAAATGCATTTCTTCATCTCTTTGCTGTCTACTGAGAAATAAGACTGGCTAGTTTCTTACTGCTTCTTCACTTCAGCTAGTGCCATATAGATAAAGCTTGTGATGTATGAGGGAGGACAGAATAGCTCTCAGAAGGGTTACTGCTTCATACAGCTTAGTAACAGCAGCTAAGAGAGCACCGTAAAATTAGTTATTTTTGCTATAAAATCAGTTATAGAGAAGAACTGTTGTGAACAGTTGGTGCTGAAGTATTTACCTCAAGACAGTAACAACAATACTTGATGTTATGAATGAAGAGAGGCTGCTAACAGGATTATCACATGAGAAACTGTTATGGTGGTGTTGAAGTGAATGGGGTAAAGTTTTTTTTTGGGGGGAAATCAAATAATTCTCAGGAAAGACATAGTGGAGATAAAGAAGAAAAACTAAGGTGATTTGGGTGATGTGTCTCCTGCCTTGTGAGGAGAGGCTAAGAAGCTGGCACTCTGATTAGGAGAGGTTAAGGCCACCAGAGGGTTATGGGGCTGAGGCTTACAAAATCATGGTTGTGGTGGGTAAACAGAAGGCAGAACTGTTCTTCCTAAAATCCTGCAAGAACTGGACAGCACTTGATGAAAGTAATAGGAGATAATTTTAAAACAGTTAAAATAACATATTCCTATATGAAGCAGCTAGTGATCTTCTGGAGGCGGTGGAAATGGGTACTGTCAGCAGGGATTAGAAAAATTTGTAGTAGAAATCCATAAATGTATTTGTAAATGGGTACTCTGAGGATTAGGCAGAGCTGTACCCTCTGACGCTTCTAATGCAACAACTGAGAGTGCTGGGAGAGTATGGAGGGAACAGATGACAAGGTGGCCAGGATCACACATGTTATCCCTAAATAGCATCTCCCTTTGCCACTCTCGGAGGCAGAATGTTGAACTAGATGGACTGTTGGTGAGACCCAGCAGGGCACATCTTATGATCGCATTGTGAATAGATGTTACTGACTTAAACTTGTGTTGTCTTTCAGCCCGGGTGTTCATTAGCTGTCTGCCTTGAGCTTTTATATTGTAACTTTAGAAAACTCAAAATATTTCGAGGTTTACAATCTAGCATAATCTTTATTCATTCTAAATATTTACAGTTTATGGAAAAACAAAGCAAGATTAATCTTATAGCTGGACAAAGTATTCCAGTGAGATATGATGAAGTTAAAGAGAATTATTCATTATCTCGATGTCCTAGCAGTGCCTCTTCATTAAGTGAGGTTGGTATAAAACTTTCAATTTGAAAATTATATGCAGTTTTATGGATTTTGCTAAATTCAGAATAGGGAAGAAAATGTGTCCCATTGCCTGAAGAATTCTAAAGTTTTATTCTGCAAATCCCTTTCTTGGTGATCAGATCACCTGATTTAGTGGCTTTTGGTAGAAATAAAAGCTGTATAACATAATCATGTGAATAATTATATCTGATTTCAACTGTGTGCTCTTGAAAACTTACCTCTCACCAATGATTATGAAGTGGCTGATTATTAGATAAGTCACCTGAAAAAAAATATGTAAACTCTTTTAAATGGATGAGCAATACCAGGGCAAATGGGATTTGCTTTCTTCCTCTGCAGGATTCCTGCGTGTAGCTTTGTTAGCTAATGATACTAACCATTCCTATGTAACTTTTTGATTACTAACTCTTTCATGAAGTAGCAGTTATAAAGAAAAAAGTTTTTATTAGCTGACTCCATTCTTGGGAATGCAGTGGTGCTGGTATTCCCACCCAAAATCCCAGCAAACCTATTGAAGAAGGTGACTACCTTTTGGCTTTCCATGAGCTTTGATCATTTTCCTTTTTGAGAGGACGAAGGTACCCTTCAGGGTGAACCAGCATAAGAAGCAACAGCAGCTAGTCTGTTTGGGACCCTGTTAGCAGCAGCAGTAGCAGCCATGGGCTGTTTCTCACCACCAACAACCCCAGCAGCCCATCTTCATGTTGCATTCAAACAGCCACTGAATTCATTTTTGTGTGCTAGCCAGCAGCTGAACTGCTGCCACAGAGATGCAGGAGTTGAGGAGACCATGGCTCTGACTTTCTTGCTGGTTTTGCTGAGAAAAACAGGGTCGGGTGGATGGTGGAAGGCAAGTGCTGCTGGGGAAGAAATGTTGTGCAAACTGACAATTTCCATCCCACCCGCACGGTGCAGCTCTTGTGGCTTGGCTGTAAGCAGGTACAAGACAAGGTCTTCAGCTTGCAGGCAGTGGTGCTGCCTGAATGCCTGCTCTTCCTCCAGAGAGCAGATAGTGATGTAGAAGTTTCTCATAGGTTGAATTTGACTTGTAGCTTGCCAGCTGGACCTTGTTACTTACACAATTAACTTCTCTAGTGTAGAAGAGGAAGGGAAAGTTCCATAAAGGTAAGCTAGAGAAAGATTATACTTTCCTCTCAAAAGCTCCTGTTACTGCCTAGTTCCTAAGGAGCAGCAGAGTTAAGATGAAGAAAATCATGTCAATTCTACTACTGCTAGCTGTGAAAACTGTGACTAGCTGTCTCTGCACTTGAAGAAAATTACTTGGAAACAAAGTATCAGGCTGCATTCACCAAGGAAAACTTTAAGTTCTGTGATCACAGATAGAAATGTTAACTTTTTAAAATTTAACAAAAAAGTTTTAGCAAATAAGAGTTAAACTCTGCTATAGCTGAAGTAGATTTCTTCACTTCTATTATAAATGTTCCAAAAGCTAACAGCTGGAAAACGGAATGCTTACTTTGCAATCCACTGGAGAGGAACATATATTATAGTTTTTTAACTCATAATTATTTTAAAACTTGTTTTCTTAAAATTTCTATATGCTTGCAGGACCATTCAGAAATTGTCCTTGACTCTTCTGAAGTGTCCATGGAAAATGGAAAAACTAGTCGGTTCCCAAAACCAGAGATGGAAATCCAGTTCACACCTCTGCAACCCAATAAGATGGAGGTGAAGCACCAAGGCAGCACCTTACCAGTTACAGTTAAAATGCTCAAGCCAAGAAAGAAAAGGAAGAGTGAAGAGATGGATGAGGTATGACCTAGACCAACCAACAAAATACGTTGTGCGGTTTTTCAATGTATTACTCTGATCATTTGTTAAAATCTTATCTTTATCTTCTGATTCTCACTGGGATCCTAAGGATCCTAGGGTATATTTAAAAACCACCACCCTCACCCCACCCCCGCCAAGTGATAGATCTCTGGCCTGTGTTGAATAAGGTCATAGACTTTAGTTTATTCAGACTCTGACCCCTTGTCCCTGATTTGCACTTTCTCTTTACCTTTTACATTTCTCTCTCCCTGCTGGTACCATTTGCTCCTGTCTCCAGCTCTGATCTGTGGGATTACAGACCAGTTCTATAGAATTGCTTCTTTTGATTTAGGCAATCATTGGTATCAATTATAATATCTTCTAATAGGCAATTACAAGTTAAGCCCCTGGGCTTAATCAATGCATTTCAGAGTTTCAAGACCACTTCCTTTGACTTTATTTCTCCAGCCTGTTTTCTTTGATCTTTTTGTACTTAGAGGGACTATACAAAACTAATTGCACCAGCACCTGAACCTCCCTGTTTTCTGTAGACCTTAATTCCTCTTTAATTCCTTCAGTTGTGCTAGGTTATATCCTCCAGCCTTCTTAATGTGCTGTGGTGTTTACACGTGAGACTAAGGCTCCACAGCAGTTCAAGGTGGTAAAAACTTCACTGCACCTACCTGGACTGCCTGTTCCTTTCCTCTGCATTTTATCAGCATTAGCACCAACACAGCTATCTCTAAGACACTTACAAAGGCTATGAAACCCTAAGACCACATTGTGGTGGTACTTACATACTTGTGATCCTACTTGGGGGTCTTATGAATCTCTGTACTTCTAAGGACTTTTGAAGCTGACAGGTGAGTATGAGGGAGATGACCTGTAGATGATTTGGCTAGGTGGTAAGTGATCTCTTTCCGCAAGTGAGCTTGTCTCTGCTGGAGAGTGAAATATCAGATGCTTTTCTAGCATTTCTCATTCAAGCATTCCCAAGTGATATATTTTTTTTTTAATCTTTTAGTAAAATAAGGGAAATAATCACTTCAGTGATTAGTGTTCAAGTGCTTCAACAAACTCGTTTTGTTAAACCTGGATTGCAAAAGTAACTGTTAAAAGCTGTGTAAATTAATTCATCTGGAATTCAACACTTCATTCTGGAATAATGTCCCGAGTTGATTTAACCTTCCTGTGTCTTCAACCAATTTTCTTCGAGAGTAGTATTCTCTCAGGCTGCTGGAAGAGTAGGTGTAAAAATAACCGCCCTTCTGAAGGTACTGAAAAGTACTGAACCTTATCTAGAGATGAATATATTTCATCTAATGTAGTTATCCATGTTTTTAGAGAAGACTGTTTTATGAATCCATTTAAATCCTTTCATAATGTAGTAGTCCATGTTCAGACCCTTATGGGATAACATTTAGCTAAGTAACTTTTCAATAACATGGAACCATGGAACTAAATTTAAAAGTATCTTGTTGCTCTCTTATTCACCTGAACGTTACTCTTAAATGTTATTTTCATGTTACATATGCCAAACAGAAATAGATTATAAAATGACTCGGTAACTTTAGCTGTCAGAAGTCTACTGAAGACACAATTTCTTTCTTAAATTTCCTAAAACTGAAAAGCACATTGTCAGCACTAAAACTAAGGACTGAAGGGAAACCTGTGGTGCTAAAATAACCACGTACTGCTCATCTCAAAGTTTTAAAAAATAAAACAAAACCCCCTTGTTTTTTTAGAAACAAACAAAACCAAATCTTTTGCAGAGACTCCCTTCTGATTAAACAAAGAACAAAATCCTCTTGCCCTTCTTTCTGACACTTATTAGTTAGTATGGCTATCAGTTATCTGAAATCTCTTGGCACCACTTCACAATATAGAAGATGTCTTTTAATGACAGCTTAACAATGGTACTATGCTACTAACCTGTTTTTATAGTTGTCACCATAAATCTGAATTTACATTGAGATTTATTGAGTTAATTTCAATTTATGTGTTCACTTGTCAAATGTCTTAAAGCCAAAAGTATAAGAAATAATGGAGGGAAGAAAATAGCAAATGTCACAATGGTTTGAGTACAGGTATTTCTAGTTCCCTTCCACAAATTTGTTTAGTGTTTAATTCACATTTGAATAGTTACCTCTATTCAGTATTAGCCAATGCCTCCCTGCTGTTAGTCATAGCATTTAAACAGTGGCTGCTTCTGCAATATAAATAATTGTTGTCCTTTCCAGAAGAATCCTAGTTAAAATTTGTCATATTTATTTTCTTAGGATTTTGTGAAAAGTGAGAACAAGAAAAATGCAAAACCTGCTATGACTGATTCACCTTCTACAAGCAACAAGAAAATGGTTTGGTTTTGTTCTATTTTTGAAGTTATTTTGGCCTTTTCTGTAAAGGTGGACTTGTGAAAGGAGCAAACATTCTTATGCAGCAGTATCTTATCCTTAAGAATCCCATTCAAGTACATAGATAAACACTTATGTTGTCTTCCTACTAAACTCTATAAGCTAACCAAAGAGAGTAAGTCTGTATTTGCCAAGAATGTGTACTAGCTGCAGTGTACAATGATTCAAAGGGAAGGATGTTGTATATTGAATAGTTATGAAGACTAGTTTGAACATACTATTAGTACATGTGATGTTATAGGCAATGCCTTTGAAGTAAAACTGAGGTTCATGTCTTCTGTATGCATGACAATTAAAAAGATTATTTGAGGCCTTAGTAGTAACGTGGGCAGGTTCAGAGGGTGGGTAGTAGATTTATTTTCCCCATCAGTTTCCTCCTGTTTTATTTATAACTAGAACAGCTTTTCTAATGAAACACTCTACAACTTTTAATCTACTTTTTTTTTTTTAAAGAAACTGTTTCCTATGTTACTCTTGCCCTTAAATGTATTTGACAATTTTTTTTTTTCTTCTGGGTATAAAAAGAGATTGTCTACATTGCTTGCTGGGGTAGTATTGTTAGTATAATGAACAGAGTTGTCAGTAGTAAAGCTCAAAATGTCAGCTTGAAAATAACATTGAAGCCGAATAAAATAGAATTAAACTTGAAGAGAAGTCAATTTTCAACTTAAACAATGATCTTGTATTTCTGTACAGATGTCTACTACACAGTCATTCAGAAAAGAATACCCCTTAAGAAAGCAAGAATCTACTTCAAGTAAAAGGTCCGCTAAAAAGAAAGATGGAACACTACAAAAAATTGGAGATTTTTTCCAAAATTCTCCTACTATTATTCACTCTAAAGGTTTGTACAGAATAAATAAGGCTTATTCCATGTTCTCTGGGCATTGTAGAATGGCTGTTTTTTCTGTAATCTATTAATGTATATGTTGTTAAAGGACATGTTCACTGCATTAAGTTGTTCTTTTTGTTTATGAAATAATGGAGTCTGAACTGGGGCCTGCTATATCGAATCTTGCAGAGTAGAAAAGGTTGTCTTGATTGCAAGGACCACATGGTTCTAAAGTTTAGGTTAAGTGTGAAAGGTAAACCAGGTGGAATGAAAGGATGCAGTGTGGAATATGTACATATAAATTTATGATAAAAACAATGATAACTGCTAAGCTCAAAATGTCTGAGTTACTTTATTCTTGCTTACAGTAAAATAGTTAAAGGCATTTCAGAAACTTGCCCTACTGCTCTATATTAATGATTTTTTTAATGTGTGTATGTGGGAGGGGAAGATTAGTTCTACAGAATCCTAAAGCTGGTGTCTCATGAAAATATTTGGAAGACTTCAAAAAAACTGACTATGAAGCCATTAATGGATTTCGTTAAGTTTAAGCATAGCCTTGGGAAGATTAACTGCTAGGACTTTCTATTGAAGAACACATTTTCATTCTTTCCTACAGTAAGACATGTTCTTTGAGTTGCTGTGTTTGTTTAAAAAAAGATTAAAATTAACAGAGGCTTCAAGGAATCGCCAGCGTTAAATTCTAAAAGACACTATAATTTGGTTGATTAAAACAAGGTCAGTCATTATTCAACGTGGACAGTTAAATTTAAGATCTCTGTACCATCTTGAAAACTTGACTTGCTGCAGAGTACATCTTACTTATCTGCAGTGGAATTTTAAAAATTTTCCAGGTTTGTCAGATTTGTTCCATGAGAACAACATATCATTTTCAATGGAAGCCAAATCCAGACTACTCAAAACTTCACCCTGAAAATACTTAATTTGAGCAGATGAATTCTAGTTTGTAACCTTTATTACCATGTCCTGTATTTTTTTTTTTCCTCTTTTGCATAACTTAGTGTTGTTTGGTATTTCTTCTTTCCTTCTAGCTCATAATAAGCATTATCATTCATTTATTTTGAGGCGCTCAAAACCAGTAAGACATTGATGTACAATAAAATTTTTCTTCTAGCAAAGAAGCTGATGGCAACAATAACCTCTCCCAAGTCTGCACAACCAGAAGGTGTCAAAGAAAACGAGCTCAAGCCAAAACGAGCTAAGAGAAAGCTGTATTCAACTGACATTTCTTGCCCTCTAGATATCCCTGCTTCTTCAGTAAGTGATTACAGGTTACTGTTCTGTCCACTGTAATGTATTTCTGTAATCTTGGCTTAAAATAAGCTATTAGGGGGACAGAACAAACCTGAAGGTCTGATCAAATAGCAGAAGAGGTTTGAAGTAGTGATTTATTTTTTGATTCTACCTAAGCATTCCTTTTGGTCTTTTCTTCCTGCTGTTTTACTTAATTTTCTCTGTTTTCTCACTTCTTCTCTGTGTTTGACTGCTGACTTACCATATAGGTGATCCAGCAATCATGGAGATACCTTTAAATTTGGATCCATAAATATCTTAGCTGTGGTATGTGGAGGATTACTTTTTCCTCTACTACAGCAATTAAGTCTTAATTTGTTTTTCCAGTAGTTGGTGTTCATTTAAGTGTAGCGTAAAGGGAGAATAGAAATAGAGACCATTAAGGGATCCATAGATTTGGAATAGTATGATTGAAATGCTAAAGATAAAGGTCTTGCATGTGCAATTAACTTTGCAGGGCAAGTGAGCACCTAAGGTAATTTCCAATTCCATTTATGCCCAGCTGATATTTGGGTTACTTTAGGATGTGGATACATCCATGCTTTTCCAAAGCACAGTTCAGATAGCCTTCTGGCTGTGCTTAAAGTGTGTTGCCTTGTCTAAGCCAGCCTATAGAGTCTCATAGGCCAGGACTTAATGTATTGTTCCTGAAATCCAACTTTATGGTTTTCATAGTAGCTATAGTGCTGAGCATACTCTTGCTCTGTTGGAAGTACATCTCTTCATTCTGTTCAGTCCTTTCTTCCCTTCGCTATGGTGTTTGCCCATATTTAGATATCCTATTGAATTTTCTGTAAATTGTACAAATAGATGCGGCAGAAACCAAAATGCTGTCCATAGGAGGATGAAAAAAATGCCAGAAATGCAGAGCAAAAGAAGCTAAGAGGCTTGGAAGTGAAAGGAAAAGTGAAAGACTGAACCCTGTGAAGATCAGAGAAAGCTAAAGGAATTTAAACTAAAAACACTTCCTGTTTCACAAAATGAGTATTAGAGATTAGAAGTGAGAGCTGCTTTCAGATCACATTTTTCTTTGGACTTTGGTATTTGTTTCAGCAAAAATGGAATTTTGTATGTTCCCAGTATTTATTGCTTATTATGATGCACTAAAATGGTCTCTATATCCTGGAGACCTCTGACTAAAAGATAATAGGCAAATTTCATTCTGAAAACAGCTTCTGGGAAAAAACACGCTCTTGGTTACATGGGTCTAGGAGTGCATGTCATTTGTCTCTGGAAAAAATGCTGAGTAATTCTTGAAATATCATCTTTTTCAGATCTTTATAGAACAAAAAGAGAAGGAAAGTGATCATCTAATCATCAAGCGACGGCTACGATCAAAAACAGCTAAATAATCTTGCAAAAGCATGTTTGTATTTAGGACATAGTTCTAGTTAGGACATAATTCCATTGTGTTATTTCAGCTGATTGTATATAGGAAGTAATAGATACTTAGCCATGCTCCGAAGTCTGTATATAGCTGTATAGAATTGTTCTGATGTTTTCCAGTTCTGACTCCATTAAAGCTGAAATACTGTTCAAGAAATATTGTGTCTGATTTTTTTTTTTATGGTGTCTTTGGAAGTGTTCATAACTTACCCATTGTGCAGTAAGAACTATGCCTGTGTGGAATGGTTTTAAGTTGCTTTATTCAGGTGGCCACTATTATTACCATAACTTTGAGTGGAAAAAAATGAATACACATCAAAACTTGTATATCCTTAAATTCTTTAAGAAGATTAACAAAAATTCTGTGAAGGGACAAAATTAAGGAATTGGCACTATGTGGAGAAATATGATGTTTTTCATCACTTGTGTGGTTTTAACAGACTTCTGTTTTCTCTTCTAAATTAAGTCATTGATAAGCATAATATTCTTTCTTTAGGGATTATAATATCCATAAATACTTATAATCTGCTATTAGAATTGATCCACTCTCAGACATTTGACATTTTATTCTAACCATCCAGTTTGCTCAACTAGAACAGCTACTTTTTAACGGAGTAAGTTTTCAGCTTATAATCAGTGACTGAGCAAACATTTAAAACACTTTTGGTTTCATCAATGTAGCATTTACTTAAGTCACAAGCAATGCCTATATTTCATAGGATTCTGCATTGTTTTAAGAACAGTACTGGTCATCTTTCAGAAAGAGCTGAAATTACTTTGACAACCACCTGCTCTTGACATGGATGAAGCAAGACAATCCCAGCAAGTGATCATTTACTCTAACTTCTTGCTCATGTGGCTTCCTTTTTTTTTTTTTATTTTCTTGAATTAGTGCCAACCATACAACATTGTTTTTATTTGCACTAGTGGATTATATTGATTATTACTGCATTTGGGTCTGTTTCACCCATCATATCTATGATATCTTTCTGTTCAGAGTTCCTTATCAATCTGTTTTGCTAATATATAGTGTTTAGCACCATAGGAAGAGTATCTTGTTTACAAGATTGCCTTTTGAGGTTTAGTATTGTCCTGACGACAAAAATTTTCCCCTTTCCTCCAAGCCATACTGGTTCATCAGCAACAACCAGTTGGTCTGTAGAGGCAGTGATAGTTTTCTCATACAGCCAGATAAGTGCTATTAATTTTTGATAGAACAGCTGCAACCTTACTGTTCTTCAGAAATTATTCCATGATTTAACAGTTATAAGTGTGTGTTTGTTTTCTTGGACTGCTGCTCTGTATTGTCTTTTGTTTGATTGAAGAAAAAAAAAATCAGATTGACTCATTGACACAAACATGAGATTAAAATTGTTTTCTTGAAAGAAAAAAAGTGACTTTAAATGCCTGTTGCAGTTTAGTTTTAATAACAAATATGATACCTTTAAAAATGCAAATCGATGTGAAAATGGTCATTAGTCATTTCTTTATAGAAGTAGTTTTCCTTTAATTTTTATGTGAATATAGCTTAAATGTGGACAACAATGGTGTTGAGTCAGTTTAGTGGCAACAAACTCTGATGTGGTTTTCTCTACTGTTCTTCAGTAGATTGTCTGAGCATGAAATGTCTCTCCATAAGGATAATGCATAGTTCAGTTCTGTAGATCCTGACTTGTAAGATCAGATTCTCGTACGAAGTTGCTTCTCTAGTTTCCTGATTGCAAAATGGAGTTGTACTCCTATACTCTTCTATATCTCATCCTTAACAAAGAAAGATTAATGTTTTGTTCTTTCTGAAAGTGGCTACGTGAGCCTGATTCACAAATCATTCAGCTCTTCCATTGCTTCAACTTCTTGTCTTCATCTTCTGTCTGTCTACCGCCATGTTCTTTCCTTCCCTCTTTTTATTCTAATAGAAAAATGTAAAATCCAGGTGATGGTCAGATAATTCTAAATAAAAAGAAATGCAACATCACTTAATTTTTTTCACAGGTAGGATTTTATCCTTTGACCCCCTTTGTCCTTCCCCAGATCTTCTGTTTTCTGCTATCTGTGGTCCAGATATCTGGATTGATCTCTTTCAGGGCTATCGAACAGCACAGTAGTGAAGATTCTTACTTTGTGTAGGTGCAAGTTGCTCATTTTACACGAGTCTCATAGCTGGAGACAATAAATATACAAGTGAAGTCATATAACAGTCCTAAACAATGGGACAGTACTTTGAATATTTATTCTTTGTCTTTCTCAACATTTTTTCTGGGTTTTTTTTTCCATTTTTAGCAGATGTTCTCAGTCAGCTGTTCATCTTGACCCTTAACTTGTTTTTTCTGAACAGTTTCAGTTCATTTTCAAACCCATCAGCATGTGCCTGTTTAGCTGGATTTTTCTTCTGTTGTGTATAACCTTGCACTTGCCTGCAGTGAAATTCATACGCCATCGTGTTGCCTTGAATGACAGTTGATTGCTTATCATTAAATCATCAAATGGCCTTATAGTTCTTATTTAACCAAAAAACATTTGCAAGGTAAATGCAGGATTGGAAGGATGCTGAATTACTTGATTGTTGCATGTATGATTTCTTTATTAATTCAAATGTGTGGAAAGTAATAGAAATATCTTCAGCCATTTGACGTCTCTGAAATTGCTGATTTGTAGTGTTTGTTCTTTTCCCTATCAAATATAACATTTCATAGTTTCAAATAATTTATGCTTCTTTCTGATTTCATGGGTAAATACCAAGTGACAAAACATTTAACAGTTTATTTTAATTACTCTGGTAAATTGCAATTTTTAGTTATCTGTGCAACTAACTAGGAAGTAGAATCTCAACTTAGTCAAGCCACTATGACACTCAGGAATGCTACCATATTTCTATCTGTATTGCCAATTTTTCTAAGTTCTTGTATTTACTAAAATTTTATCAGTGTTGCTGAGCTATCTGGAGGCTATATGAAAACCTGTTTTTTTCTGGAAGTCGTTTGAATGTGTGTTTTCAGTATTATTGAGCATTAGAGTAGCTGTATATACATGCACAAAAACTTTTTCGATTTCACTTACTCTAGTTTTTTTGTCCCTAGGGTAGCCTTTGCAATTGCAAGAACTGCACTGAATTAACTGCCTTCATAGGTGTAGGCTTAGTTATCAAACTCCATGGTTACAGATTTTTAATACATACAGAAATAAGGCATGCTCCCTTTGCTTTGGTCAAGGAACTGTCATTTCTGTACTTCCTACGGCTCTTGGAGTTTGAACCTGTATGTTGGTAGCCTAGGAAATGGGTCATACTTTGTGTACCTCCCTTGTCTATGTCAGGATTATCAATTATTTCCTAAGCAGGAAGAACATGGGTGTGATATGAAGGGGAAAAAAATAATCCAAGGAAGCAGTTTTTTTGATATTATCACATATAAAGATGTTCGCTTTCAGTTCTTAAGAAGTAATGGGAAATACTTTTTTTCCTGGTCAAGACTAAGGCTAGCTCGGTTTTGTCCTTTCTTTCAGCTCCTCTAGAGAATGAAGAAAAAAGTGGTTTAGGACATCATTTCCCTCTTGCCTTCTGACTCTTCCTGATAAGTACTGTAGCTAATTAAAAGCTGACAATGAATATGCCTCCTCCTTATTTAATTCTTATCTTAGCGTAAGGTTCATCAGTTAGCTTGCAGAGGAAAGATAATAGGTTTAGTCCATTAACAGAGGAGAGCTCAATTCTTCTACCTAGCAAAGACCAAGATAAACACCAATTAATGGAAACTTAGTCTATATTTTGACATGGAGAAGGCATCTGGTAATACTTAAATTTTCCTTGTTCTCTTCAGAACTTTCTGGGCTGTAGGAAGGTTGTACCCCAACAATGGGTGATGTGTGTGTCACTGTGCATCATTGGCTGAAGAGAGGAAAAAGAGCTTCTATATATGAAATTGGGTCATGCAGTGCTGATATCCTAAGAGAACTCAGATCCCATGAAGGAAAGTCTCCTGGGGTAGCAACAGAGACTTCTGCTGTTCTGCACCCCCCCACCCCCCCGAGTAAATCTAGTATCTGAAACATTGAAATAGGACAACCTAGTTCAGTATCAATCTCTTCTATGCATTGAAAAGTTCTGATATGTAAAATGAAGTTTCATTTTCCCTGGAGAATAATCTTAAGTGTTTATAACTTTAATAATAGACTCTTAAGACTTGGCCTCACTTTTTTGGTGTTTTGTTTTCCTACACAAGGAAGGAAACTCTTCCATAGCATGGAACAGTTCTATTTCTGGTGAACACCTGAACTCTGCAAAGTGCCTTGTACAGCATCACCATTGTCTTTGAATAGTTCCTTTGGAGCATGTCATGCTGTGAGGGATAATTCTTAGAAAGTAGCCTGTGCTATACACATATCAAACTGCCCCAACTTTTCCAGTGGTTAAGCCTCATCTTGAAAAGACTGTCCCTTGCTCCACTTCAGCTCATTTGGGGTGAATGCTTTTTCTCTTGCTGTCCCCATGGCACTCCAATTATAGACATAATGAAGGCTTCTGGGAGGAAAATATGAGGACACTGCTTCATATAGGTCAAGCTTTTCTCTTTGGCAAAAAGAAAACAAGTAGGAACAGTGGCACCATTTGATCAGACAGTTCATGAAGGTGAGGGTGTTTCTGGAGAGAAAGTGAGAAAAGGGAGCAGAATATTTTTGAGGTCATTTTTCAGGGATAAGATAGCTTTCCGTAGATAATGCAAGTACTTGAAACTTGATTAGTGCTGTGAGAGAAGAAAAACAAAAATACTTTATTAAAACATGCTTACAAAGCCTGTTAACGAGAGCGTCTTGCCTGCGACAGCACAGTCCCCGGGAGATGGCGCCGAGACACTGCTTGAGGCCTCCAGTCCCGACGCTGGGCATTTCAGCTGGGAGCTGCAGGCGGGCAGAAATGTTTTGCTTTGTTTTAAGCTAACCCACTTTTCATCCCAGTTAGCCAAGCTTCATA